TAATGTATAAAATATTATACAGGATGTCCCATTTTAAATAATGCGTTAAGATTTCTCGAAAACTATGGTAGATACGGAAAAATGTTTCAAACAAAACTTGTATGGTTCGAAGGGGGACATAAAAGATATCATTGACTTGACCTTGGGTGTCGTCGTTAAGGTCAGGTCAAGGTCACGTCGTTTTTTTTTAAATGGAACCCTCTATTATTTTTCATTACATTTTCTTGTAGCTTACCTCGAGAAGCTTTTCAAAACAATATAATAAAATATGTTTCCATTAAGTATTTAACGAGTTATAAGGCTCGAAATTTACAGTACAGTCGACATTAGCATTACACAAGTTGTCCGATCGATGGCTAAAACCTCTTGAATGTTGTTCAGGAGCATATCCTGGATAACATTTGTCAAGATCAAGGCCATTGGAGATTATTCCTATTATTTTATAATGCTAATACCAACAGTACTGTAACTTTCAAGCCTTATAACTTAAAAAGTACTTAATGAAAATGAACTTCGTTATAGAGTCTTGAAAAGTCCTTGCTATCAGTTATTAGATTTTGGAATAAAAGTATAGTGTTCTATTTAAAAAAATCGATGTGACTTTGACTTGGCCTTAACGATGCTATCCAAGGTCAAATCAATGATATCTTCTTATGTCCCCATTCGAACCATACAATTTTTGCTGGAAACATTTTTCCGTATCTACCATAGTGTTCGAGAAATCTTAATGCATTATTTAAAATGAGACACCCTGTATATATATATATTGTGTGCGCGCGCGCGCGTGTGTGTGTGTGTGTGTGTGTGTATGTATATATACATATATAAAATTATATAAAATTAAGTATAAAATTATACAATATTATTTAAAATTATATTTTATATAATTATACAATTTTATATAATTATAGATATATAAAATTTTTTTACCGGGTATTTAAAAAAATTTTATTTGATAATAAAATAACTAAAAAATAAATTTATTGAAAATTTTATAAAATAAAATATCTAAATTTATAAATATCTCGGCTAATTTTGGCGATAAGTATATACACTACGCGCACAAATTAAAGCATCACCTCTCACACCTTCGAAAAATGGATAAACTTCAAAAGAGTGTAACTTCTACAAAAATGGTCAAAATGAGATTTTAAAAAAAGTATTTTGTAGCTTCAAATCTCTACTTTCCAAATCTGTATAATGAAATAACAATTCGACTGATTTTCACGGAACTACATGATTATAAAGGAAGATCCGTAAAATCTCAAAATTTTTTGTAAACTTTGTACAGTTTCATGGCGTGAATGAGAAGTCGGGCACAAATACAATGCACAGCTTTCGAAAGCGTGAGCTTTTGCATTTGATTGGCATATTCCATTAGATCTAAAAATTTACTCCAATTAGATATAAGAGCTCACTGAGTGCTCAGTGAGCGGTTGTAGTACTTAGTGTCCCTAGAATACAGAGTCTGGCAGAGACCCATAGAACTCTTTTTATTGGATCAGAAGTCAGACCCCCTAAAAATGGCGGGACCAATCACCACACAGCGGGAATACACACAGTTTAAAAAGGATACAATGAAATAAGGGAAGAGATCATGTGTTTTTAATATTTTATTTGTGTATTAAGGCCCATACACAGACTCTTGCATAACGCATAGTGGATAAGTGAATCAACTAATCAGAATCTTTCCTTTCCTCCCATTCCATGGAAAAGAAGAATTTCCTTATTAAGATTGGTTAATTCCCTTATGCACTATGCATTATGCGTTATGCAAGAATCTGTGCTTATGCGTTATGCAAGAGTCTGTGTCTGGGCCTTTAGATTAAAAACATGAGAAAAATTAATGGAAAATATACAAAACACATATCAATATGTAAGAAAATATGCATCGCCATGATCTCTAATAATTAAGAAAACAATAAAAATTAGAGATCATGGCGATGCATATTTTCTTACATATTGATATGTTTTGTATATTTTTCATTCATTTTTCTCATGTTTTTAATCTAAAGGCCCAGATACAGACTCTTGCATAACTCATGAAGTTATGTACTTATTCCTGTATAATTATACATGTAAACACGTATAATTATATGTTTATATAATATTCCGCGCGCGCGCGCACACACACACGCACACACACGTGCCCACGCACACAACACGCATATACACGCGCACACGCACACTATCAATACTGGCTAATGTTTAACGATCTATTTGTAGTGCAATTGTGTGAAGCCGGAACTTGGCAGTGTGTTGAGATTGACAGTAGCGCTGGCAATTAATACAGTTACGTAGCAAGAAGATATTATGACTGT